CATCCATCCATCCATCCATCCATCCATCCATCCATCCATCCATCCATCCATCCAACCAACCAACCAACCAACCAACCAACCAACCAACCAACAATGTGGTCACTGTACATTTTCATCTTCCTGGGCTTCCATTGACTTCTTTGTAGAAACAGTTGCTCTCTATATTGACTTCCATACTTGACAAGTTGTCTTGCCTGCGAGCTGAGTCCTTGTCTTTCACTTCACTCCCCCTAATCCATTACGAAAACCTTCAGCCAGTCATGGCTCCAACTCTTGGTAAATTTACTCACTTGCGGAGTTTTACCCTTACGAGTGGTGGCTCATAATGAGGGAGCCTGAACATCAGTAAATAATTTATTATTGCATCCAACACCGGATATACACAAGACTTGTCTCTAACAAGGGAACTAGCCAAATGAGTTGATATTTTTCTGCACAATGTTCAATTTTGTAAAGTCTTTCCCCCGAAATGTATTCCATGTTACAAAAAATAAAGCTAACATGGAAATTCAACTAAAAATCCAGTCTTGAAATTTAGTCAAAATTAAACTGAAAATGAAAAATCAAGAGGCTAAAACACAATAATAATAAAAACTAAAGAAAATTTTGAAACTACTATAAGCTTACTTTGTACATGGGCGGCCTCCTCCATCAACTGAGCACCACTAGCACACTGACTGCAGCTTTTTTAAAGAGAACAGTGTTACAGGATTCCTTATCGAAACTCTTAAAACAAGTCCACTTCTAACCCTGGGTGTTTAGACGGTTTGAAAAATGGCGTAGTTATGAAAACATTTTTGTTTCAGCTTTGAATCGTATTAATAATGTTGCTTCTCTCAAAATCTAACATCCAAACTTTGACTTTAGAAGCTTTTCATTCACTCTTTGTACGGTTTCTTCCTCCCTCTTCACAGCGAACTGTCATAAGCTGTTTGAATCTGCATCTCAGGAAATTAATCTTCTTTACTGCCGTATCTACTGTTGCATTGTTGCTTGTTGCGGCTTTAGCTGCAGAGGCAGCAGAAACACAGTTATGAAACCACTTCAGGGGGGAAAAGTTTATGGCACAATGGCACCCACTGTGTCGCTGGCGCTCCCACTTCCCAAGAGAATTTCATGCTTTTTCGTCTCTATTGTATTGATTTTCATGCCTGGAATTCTCCCATTCTCAAGGACAATATAATGGCTGCAATTGGATGTAAAGAATGGCTCATTTTCAGCGTGCGGGTCGCTAGTAGGTTACAGTGAGTCAAACCATCCAGACTGACGCCTTCTTTCTCTGCGCGGACTCTCACCTGCTTCAGCTTTGTTACTGCAGCGCCAGATGGTTGAGGAGAGCTGACATGGCCCTCCTTGTTCCTTGATGGCATGGGGGGTCACCTTACAGTGGGCTCCCGTTTCACGTGGCAGCATGAAGATGGATGAAACAGGGGATTCTGGGATGGGTGGTTTGTGATGCGGTGTAACAGTGCAAGTGCAGATCCAGATGCAGAGGTCAAACCTGGATCAGTGTCAAGTGAGGGATGTAAAAAGTAGGGCACTGGAGACCAGTTTGCTGAAGTGGCTCCGCACTAAGCGCTGGTTGCCCCCAGTGACACGAAACTCATTATTATGACAGATCACCAAGGTAAAGACGGAAGGTCGTCGGGCTCTGTGGTTTTGGGATTAGGTCACAGCAGGGGGTAAGCTCACTCACAGCATGAAAACAGCCCTGAGAGTCAGATATGAATACAGAAATAAACAGATAATGCTCAGCCTCACACACTGTCATTCTTACCTAGAAATCCTCAGAGGAATGGAGCAAAACTCGAAACCGGGCAGAGATGCAGACAACAGGCTCAAAGATTGTAAAAGGCATGATGTCTGCAAGAGATGTCTGCAGTGGACAATCTGGTCACCTCACCTGAGAAATACTTCATAAATGTCCTGTAGCTTATCTCTGATAGTTCCGTCTTCTTTTGTTTTACACTAGAGCCTTTTCTTTTTTATGTTATCAAATTAAATCATCAAAATTCTTTCAGGTCATGAGTCCAGCTGATCTTTTCACATGGACCTGCTTAACATATCACAAGATAAAAAAAGACGCTAAGCCGAAAGGAAATGTGAGCTATTTTTGTTGTTATCACTGTTATGCAACATTAGCAACGTGTCTCGGGTGAAATATTTTACTTTTTTTTTTTCTTTTATGAATATTCGGGGTCTCAGGAGGAGAAGTCCTGTGATAGTACCAACAGTAGGTCAAAAAAACTCAAATCTCTGAAAAATCTCAACATAGCTGCGATGATCCTTTTGGAATATAAATTCAAGGTCCCTGACATTTGAACCTTTTTGACCTTCATACAGTTGTGGATCAGAGGTTGTACATGTCTTGTGAAATATTAACTAGCTTGCCCAGTCTTTCATTTTGGGCTGGACTAAAATATTTTATCTTTTTTTTTTTCTTTGCAAACCTCAAAAAATTTTGTTACATCAGTCAAGGTCCCAAGAAGATGAACTTTTCAGACTTCAGGGTTAGTATCACAGGAAAGTCAAAGTTTTACCCATTAGTGATCAATTTGTCCTTGAAGTTGGACCAGACTTAAATATCTCAGCAATATTTTTGACAAAATTTACTAAAATTTTTAACGAACATTCAAAGTCCCCAGAGGAATAATCCTTGTGACTTTGGTGAAAACATCCAACAGATGAATTCATTTTATGACAGTGACAGTGACCTCTGTTTAGGCCAAACTGACCTGCCCAAAAAGTTCCTGCTCATCTTGTGAAATGACCTAACTTTCACTTGAAGGCTGGATTTAAATGTTTTGATATTGATGGCCAAAGAATATTTCCAAAATCACACATTTTCTAACCTAAAATGGTGTAAAATGAGAAGAAAACCTTGTAAAAGATGATCAGGACTGCAGAGGGTCTATCTTCTGTTGTGCTTACTAAGATCATTTCATGGCACTCTATGTTTTGCAATTGGAGTTTTTTGTTTATAAAGCCAGGGGTGTTCAGTAGGTCATCAAACCCTATCTCCGTCTGGGATCCAAATTAGCTTTATGAGCAACATCAGTGTGGATGGCAGACAGTGTGAGTGGAAAAGCTGAACAATCATCAACATTAAGATTTGGATTTCTCGTTCTGTAAGGTGTTAGCTTAACAGAGAAAAGGTCTGACTGCTTTCACCATGTGGCCTTGGCGCTCTGGTATGTAGCCCAGTTACATGTATGCAGATCCACCAAGCTGTTTCACACTAATGGCCCATAAACAGAACTGGGTCACCGAGGCCTCCAGCTACTCTGATAAAATGTCACAAATTGAATCCCTGAATAAAACCAGTCTGAGGGAATGTGAATGTAAAAACGAGCTGCTCTCTGCAGTGTCCTTCACTGGATTTAAACTGTGACACCGTCATCAAAAGCAGCATAGACATGAATTCTTAAATAAAAAAAGACATTTGAAAAAAAAATATATATATATTGCTTGTGTAAGTATAACACACGTGCCTCTGGTGTCAGAGTTTACATTTTCACGTGTTTCATGTGCTACATGTGAGTTTTTCACAGGTACATAAATGTATGATGGTGTCGTGTAGGGCTGTAAAGAAGTATTGATGCATCACAATGTGTCAGTCTGAGTTTGAAAGTTCTGATCGATTAAAAGTGGTAAATATTGTATCAAGGTGTTTCTTTTTATTGATTAGCTCTGGTCTTCAGACTCTGTGGTGTGTTTCTGTTCCCCTCTCTCCCTCTCCGAAGTCACTGACAAGCTGAGCTGCTGGTTTCCTGAAAATGTTTATTTTTTTCTTAAATTTAGTATTTTAAAGGTTTGTATGACTCTTATTTTATTATTTACTCTTATGTAGTTATAAATCATATATCTGTAGACATGTAATGTTTTATTAGTTGTGAAAATAAATAATTGATAAGGTGCCAAACTCCTGAAAGAAGCTAACTTCAAAGCTGCAGTTGTTGAAATCCAATTTCATACACAGTAGTTCTCAGAAAAAGAAAATACACCGTATATGTTGGTCTTTGACTGGAAATTTGACTAGTTTGGACATAAAACTATAAAATAACTAATTTAAGCCCTTTAACACTCCGTTTTAAAATAATACTTTACTTGTTAGCAACTCACCAGCTAACATGTTCAGCTAAACTTTCCCAGTGTACATTTTTCTGATAGCAGGAGTGTCTCCAGTGAGTTAAAAAAATTAACTTTAGAGAGACTTTATTGTTTTGGCTTAGCTCACAGGATGGACAAAATTAGTCTCTCCTCTTTTAGCCCCCAGATTCTTTGCAGTGCGAAAGCTAACATACGGCTGACAAAGAGTGCTACCTTAACAGTTTAGTACAACGTTGTCATGAGTTTAGCATAGTTAGCATCTTCCAACAACATAAATCGGCGACATACCCTCATTTTGGAAGCTCCTTCTTTTTTACTGGAAACATGCCAATTGCAGTGTAGATTATCGTTGTTCCACACCATGTCCTCCAGCTGATACTTAAAAACAACAGCTGTTCTCCCCACAGCTATGTCTGGTTGGCTGAATGAGATCACTTGTTCAAAGAATGCGCGTGTGACTGGTTTTAACTAATATAACTTGCCTGCATTTTTCGCACACTTTTAACATAGATTTTGAGAAAATGTGCAAAAATCTCAGGTGGCAACAAATGAAATTTGGTTCAGAAAAAAATAAGTTTCAGTATATATGAAATAGAGGTTCTCCCTCAGTGGAGATCTTTACATTCAGTAACTAAAGCAGATACGCAGCCTTGGCCCACCGCCTATTTGACTAAGATGGTTTCCATCCACTGGTACATGAATGTACTGGCTTGTGTTGGACTCTAAAGGCATCAGCCATATATTCCCAAATAGAAATACGGTGTTCGGATCTCACTCAAAATCAATATGGAAATGAATTTGGTTTCCTTACTTATATCCTTTTCATCATTTACAGTAGACTGTCTGGTTGTTGCAGGGACGCCGTTGCCGCTCCAGAAAGTAGAAAAATTCTAAAATCTTCATTCACTTTGTCAAGAAGCTTAAGTTTAAAATTCAGGGGAAAAAAATGTATGTAAATTGTCAAAACCTTTCATTTCAAATATGTGTTCTTCTGTTGCTAAACATATATATTCAATTTGTATCCATCTTTTATACTCTACAGTTTGCGCCAAAGTTGGATGGATGCAGGATTACATTCGCTGGCTCTCTTGTGAGGATATCCAGAGTTTATTGTTTCACACAAAAACAATGTGAGTATAATTTGATTTTGCATTTTTCACCTGACAAAAGAATTTATTATATGCCGACCCCTTTAGGCCCCTTTTTCACTTTTTTTGTGTTTTCTGACATTTTATAGACTAGTCCATCAATCACCGATGTGAGTAATCATTCACCTTTGTACGATTTCTATGATTTGAAGCTACAGCATCCGTCTCATCCCGCACCCTGAGGTGTGAAATAATGGACCAATATTTTCCAGAGCTGTTCTATTATCCTGACAATGTAATATTTCACTGTATGAACTCAGGACATGAATTATCATACCTTTTGTAGGCTTCATCTCCAGCTGTCAGGCGCAGATCTTTATTGTCATGTCAAATTGGAAGTGACCCATTTCTTCTGCTCACTGATATATTCTACAGTCAGATTTTTGTCTTTAAAATGAAACAAATCAGCTTACTCTCAGATGTAAAGACAAAAGAGAGATTTGACATGATCTGTGAGTATTTTTTTTAAAACCCAGATGAAACAGGAAGTGAAACAGGTAGATCTACCACCAATATTTTGATTCTGCATAAAAACTGGGTCACTGTTTGGTTTGAGGACAGGAAATGACACCATTTCTGCTCACGCTCTGTCTCATTGAGGTTGAGACTTTTACACACAGTAGATTTTTTTTTTTGAACACAATAAAAGAAGAAGTGAAGCACATCCAGCTTCTTTTCAATGCAGGATCATTTTAATTTTCAATTACACACTGACATTTACCAATGTGGGTGTTTTTTTGCTCTCTCCTGACGAGATATCAGCCATGAGAGTGGTTGAAAAGAGTCTCCTCCATCTTTTTAATTAAAGATGTCTTATTTTTATTGTTCTTATCTTAGCGATGACGAGCTCCCCGTGTGCTATCTTCACCCCATTCTGAGCACTGCGGTTCAGACAGAATAAGCCTCCTTAATTGCATATGCATGACCCCTTGTCTGGAAGCAGTCACTGTGTCAATAAATTATAGTAAAGGCCACGGCTGCTATCTAGAATATTAATCATTCTGCTTCCTCAGTAGTGCTGTTTGACATCATGGCACGCTTTCCTTTTAAATCAGCTCAGAGGGTCAGGAGGTACAGGTAATTAAACTTCATATGCTCAGATCCCAGATCTACATTTAGCTTAAAATATTCAATCACAGAAATAAGCCTACTCTTTAAATTTACGAAACCATGCCTGGTTGGACAAAGTGCACTGTGGTTGGTTTTTGAAGTGCCTTTCGGATCTAGTTTGGTAGAAAAACAAGAAAACAGTTCTCACCCCATTAACTCTGAATCATCACGTCCCATTCAAGTCAATGAGAGTCCCTGAGCTCCCTCATCCTGTAGGTTCCTCTGGATCGCTGCTGCTGTGGACCAGCCCAAGCCTCAATGGGACCCTAAGCAAAATTTGATTTTAGGGCCCTCTATTTCTTCCAATAATATTGATTGTTGATCATTCACACTCCTTCACAAATTTCTTTGATTACCATTCCATGACCTGCAAACACACCTTTATCTTGGCGTTTTTTCTCTTCTTCCTCTTCCTTTTCTCTGCTCCTAAAGGATATGCCCTTTTTTGCAACATTGTTTTGCCCCACAAACTACCTGCGCTTTGGATGCTCAGTGTACAGTGCACAGTAGAAGGCACATAACGGTAGCAGAACTTTAACATATCGGCAGTAAGAATCATAGGCCTACATTAGCAGCAGCACTAAAATGTTTTTACTTTATTTTTACAATAATATATATTTGATCATACAGAAAGAATCACTCACACATGCAAAAAATAAAAAATATTTAAACTTTTTTTTTTATTGCTCTTGGGGGGCCCCTATTGGCCGCAGGGCCCTAAACAGGAGCTTAGTTCGCTTATGCCTTGGGCCGGCTCTGAGCATGAGTTCCTCCATTTTTTTATAAATGTTATAAAGCTAACGTTGATCGTAGAATTTTTTGACTATTCTGCTTTAATTGTTCTAATTCAAAGCCCCACTATTTACCTCAACTTCACGGTATCACTAAGCTATTACTATTGACGTGTTGACTTATGTTTCCCATAAATCAATCTAGGATCAGTCTATTAGTAAACCACATGTAACCACACATCTGTATGTACTATTGTTGATGTTGTTGTCTCTGTCCATCTCTCTCTTTCTGAATCTCTCTCTATAATCAAAACACGGTTTCAGCAGATGAGCGTCTAACATGAATCTGGTTTTGCACAAGGTCTCTGTCTTCTAAAAGGAAGTTTTTCTTCACCACTGTTACTTGTTGGATGCTACAAAGTGGGTCTGTTTGAGACTCAATCATATTCTATCTTGATGTTGGGTCTTAAAGAGTAAACAGACAAATTTCAACTGTTTTTAAATCAATAAAATCATAATCAGAGTTATATTTAAGTGTGAAATGATTGATTTGTCGAGGAAGTCATTATGAAATTCACGGGTTAGTCTAGCTATCATAAGACGGTTGTTAAAGGTGGTACAAACCCTTCAGGGTGAGACAACACTACTCTCATTGTGTAGCGCCTGCCAAAGCCCAATAAGCAAATTAGATTTTGAGACTCATAAAACTGCTCATCTCCGGATATTTTTTCAGAGTTTCTTGCCAGTGGCTTATTCACATCAACTTGGAAGACTCCACATATTCATTGGAAGAGGAACGTTTAAGGGGAAAAAAATCACTGGGATGACTAATCTGGGGACTTTTCTGTCTGAATCCATCGCTTTAATATCAACCTGCTGTTTTAAGGTTAACACAGACATCAAACAAGACATCTTGCATAATGCATGTGTGTTTAAAGTGCTCAGTAATAATTGTAGGGCAGAACTGAAGCCCGAACTAGGCCTTAGTGTATTTAAAAGTACCAAACCTGCTATCTTTTGGATCCACAGTTTATAAAATGCTTAACTTTAAGATAGATCCATGCAGCTGAATGCACTTCTTAAGAGTTGGCTGTTTATTATCAGTCCAAAGTTGGTTGCTCTGTGACCCAAATGCAAAAATGTTAATAAACACCCTGTTCTGCACCTTTATGCAATCAGCCCCTCTCGGCCAGACTGAGGTGGAAACCCGTTTGATAAAATTGGCTGCTTCCTGGAGTCTGGAGACTGAAGTCACACACTCAGACGGAAGGGATTGGAGACGCATGGAGAGGGGAGGGGGACATTGTGCGTCTAGTGCCACTTCCACAGTCCCCCCCCCTGACAGACCCGACTGATTGCTTCCAGACCACCTTAAAAAGCGGCGCAGTCCTCTGAACCGTGCGGTCTCTTGCGTTGCGCTCTTGCGCGGCGCCAGTGGGGGATCCTGGGACAATGTGGGGATGAGCTATTGACTACCCCCATCCACACACACACAAAGACACGGAGACACACACTCTCATCATCATTATCAGCCAGCCACCCCCCTGCCCTGCAGCGACACAGGCTCAGTGGCACATTAACATACTGCTGCTGCTGCTGCTGCTGCTGCTGATGCACCTCCTCCTCTGGACTACTGTCTGACTGTCTAGAGAGCACAATTAGTCTGCGGAGGAGACACGAAAAAAGATTTCATACGGCTCAATATGGCTGGAAATGTCTGACATAGGGATACCACTATACCAACAGGGTGCAGCAAAGATTATGTGAGATGTTATTTGACAGAAACTGGTTTATTCCAACAGGGTTTGTTTGTCATTCTGTGAAAGTTTGAGGCTCCAAAAGCAGAAGGGCCATACACTATTAGGTCCCTTTTTTATTTTGTTAGTGTACTTGCATATGGAAAAAAAAATCACACTCACACTGTGTTCAGGTGTCTGTTTATGTCTGCTTTAAGCGTACATAACACCTTGAATAGATCAGAATAAAGAGGGTGGTTCATGTTACACAGACAGACGAGAAAGGGAAATGGCTCCTCAGCTGATGGACCGTTTAACTGGATAAATAAAGACGGTTGGAAACTGTTGTGTTGATAATTCAACTCAAAGGACACTCCGGTTTGTCCCACCTGAAAGCTCAAACGCCCAGAGGGCGGCGGTAGTGCGCTCTCAGCTCTCTGTCGGACATCAAGCCAAATGTCTTTACCCCTATGTTCAGACTCGCAGGCACACGATCCCTCTTCCCTGACTCCATAGAAGTAGTAGAGGACCCCGAGTGGAGTCATGAAACCCCTACATCGACAGTGTTCAACTCAATCTTTTAACAGCTATTTAGATCTAACATCAACCAGGTAGAGAAGAGCTGCCTGAGAAGCAAATCTCAGGGTAAATATCTTTATAATAAAGCAGTAAAAACTCATCTGAATCTGATCGATCAACATGGAGATTTGACCGTGTTTTATGAACGATTATGGATATTTACCTGTCATGCAGAAATAGACATCCTGTTAAATGTGCAAAGATTGTCAACATCATTAAAATGCTCATTAAACACTTAAAACATTCCAATCTGTGAAATTTGCATTAAAAGTGCGGCTTTTTTGACTTGGTTGGAATTGGAGACTTTGCACTTTTTAATTATGAATAAACCTTTAATGATGTGAAACGTGTGGAAGTATCTTTAACTTAATATAAATATATATCTCAAACATATATCCTACCAGGTTTTATAAGAATTGTTCCAAAAAGATAGTGGTAAAGTACTTTAACTCGATTGCCAAAGCATCCCATCTCCCTCCTAATATTTTAAGCGATGAACTTTGTCAACTTATTCTGTGTAATGTTAAAATCTCCCCACTCGGTATTAAAATCTACGTGTTTGTGTGTATGTGCGTGCCTGCGTGTATTCGTGTGTGCGTGTGTGCGCTGTGGGCCTTGCTTGATGTGTTGTTTGTTCAACACAATCACATTTCTTTTTAAGCGACAGGGTGTCTAGACACACACGTGACCGGGCGCGTCAATGCGCACTGGAGACTGGAGACGGAGCAAGGGCACCCAAACCATCCGCCTCATTTACAGACAGAGAGCCTTTTACCCCCCTCGAGATCACTCGCCGGCTCGCCTTCCTCCGCACACACACTCAGACAGACACGGAAACTTGCTGTGAGAAACGAGCTTGGATTATTTTATCTTGAGGGATTCGCTTTTACTAAAATAAGTTACGAAGCTCGGAGCGTGGACGTACAACCCGAGGGGTCTCTCTCTCGTTTTTTTTTCTCCAGGCTTTTAAACTCGAGAGATTCAGCCCTGGATTCGCTCCCTGTCTCATCGGACGAGGTTCTGTCTCGCCAGTAGACCACATCATCTGCAGACGAGTGGCATATTTAGACGATAACGGATAAAAAAGCCTCCTCCTCCGCCAGCCTGCTTGGAGAGCCCTTCTCTGTGCAGTCGGATCAAGGATTTTGTGGATTAATGCTCTTGAAGACACAGCGGCGAGCCTCGCTTTTCGTGGGATAATTGTGATAGCCCTTCGGTTTAATCAGGCCCCCACTTTGTCTAATATCCACCGTAGCTTTTTGCGCATACATGCTGTAATGTTTGAACGGTGTTTATTTGCGTAAAAATCGCCCGAGACCGTGTTTTAAAGGGGTCAATCCACAGCGCTAGGCTGCACATCACCCAGTGAGTTGATCGTACCACATCCAGCCTACATGCTGCTGTGTTGTAGCACATTTTCTCCTGCTACGTTTTGTTTTAAATGATAGTTTTTTAAAGGTCTGGGGTGATGGTTTTTCCTCAGAGGAAAAGCTGACTGCTCCGTGAACCTCCTCGACTATTTTTCGGCGCTCATATCTGCAAGAGAAGGCGACAGAGACTGGCGTATGCTACAGATTTCATCTGCTTTTCCAGCTCCCAGTTTTTCCACCGTCTTTTCTCAGGCTGCTTGTCATTGCCTGGACTCGGCTCCCGGAATCTTCATGATTTGCGGACACCATGCTCGTTTTTTAGCCGGGAAAACCTCTTTTCGTCCCGCATGTTTAGGACCAAACGATCGGGGCTCGTCCGGCGACTCTGGAGGAGCCGTGCGCCCGTGGAGGGCGACGGGGAGGCGGATAGAGGGACACATGGCTCCGGGGGCTGCTGCATGGGCAAAACGACAAAGGCGGCCAAGACCAACGTCGGGTCCGAGGCTGAATTGAAGGCGTTGACCCACTCGATACTGAAAAAAATCAAAGAAAAACAATTAGAGGTGCTTTTGCAGGCGGTGGAGTCGAAGGGGGGAGCCCGGAGCCCCTGCTTACTCCTACCCAGCAAAGTGGACGCCAAAGTGGGTCAACAGTCTTACTCTCTCCCCATGCTGCTCTACAAAGTGTTCAGGTGGCCGGACCTCAGGCATTCCTCGGAGCTCAAGAGGCTGTCTTGCTGTGAATCCTACGGGAAAGTTAACCCAGAGCTCGTTTGCTGCAACCCGCACCACATGAGCAGACTGTGTGAACTCGGTGAGCTGGATTCATCTCCTCATTCTCCATATAAGACAAAAAAGTTGTGAAATAGCCTTTAATTCTCTGCTGTTGGGGCCTCATTTTTGAGAGCAGACACCGTGTCATTGTGTCTTGAAGAGATAATTAGCTTCATTGAAATGACTTCACCTCTCTTGGCTCGGTTCGGTTTCTAGAAGGTCGAACTTGTCCGTAAAGTGTGCCAAATAGTCCTCTTCATTCGGTGTCAAAAAACTGCAAACTTACTCTGAATAATACTCTACAATGACAGTTTATCCCACTCTAAGGTTTTCATTTGGGATAACTTCGATTTTAATGTTTATATCGACCCTTGAGCCGAACATTACAACTTTTATGAGGGTATTTTCAACTTGGTGTTATAAACAAACATCCCATTAGCTATTTCAACATTTCACAATTGGCATTTCCAAAGTGCAAAGCGACTCATCCCGGGCTTTACAGTCTTTCCACGTGAAGTTTCCAGCGCTTGTGTGTGTATTTGTGTGTCTGTGTGTGCGCTAGCTTGGCGTCCCGGGCCAAAAGAGGCCCGTATCTCAGTTTGTCCTAGACGCTGATAGTGGCCCTCCTGGCGCCAGGCGGCCCCCTGTTTATCTGCCTGCCAATGAAAGGCAATAGCCGCCCGGCCTCTCTGCTTCTCTTGCCTCTCCAGCTGACAGACACAAAACCTTTTCCCCGAAGAATGACAACTCTTATCATAAAGTTTAGATCTCTGCTTTGTGTGTGTGTTTTTTTTTCTCATACTCTGCTTTTTTTCTTTCTTCCATGCAGAGTCCCCCCCTCCTCCATATTCCCGCTATCCCATGGACTATCTTAAACCACCAGGTAAGCTTTATATTAATGAGTGAATCCATGTGTGTTTTATTGTTGCTCTTCTGCAAAAATATGCACACCTAAAAGGCCATCTTGTATTCATGGATGTTTATGTGTTGTCTGTGAGTCTTACATTACACATGCATATAGTCTTACACTCCTCCTGTGGTTCATTTGTGTGTGTGTGCGTGTGTGTGTGTGTGTAGGAAGCAGCTCCATGTTATGTTGTGATTTATGATAGCGGTGGAGTGGCACGCCTGGCTGGCTGGGCAGTTCCAGTGTGGCTGGCAGCCAGGGCAAAGCAGCACAAAGTTGAGATACCAGCTATAGACTGACTGGCATTTCACCAGGGGCAGAGAGAGAGAGAGAGAGAAAGAGAGAAAGTGTGTGTGTGAGGGAAGAAAGGCAAGGGAGGAGTTGTATTATGGGTGTTTTGTTTGTGTGTCCATCTATCTATTGTGAATCGAAGTGCAGACAGCGGCGTCTCTGGAGCCAGCCAGCCATTATCATGTGAATTAATCAACAGATTAAGGTTGAGGACGTGTGTGTGTTTGTGTGTGTGGGGGAGGTGTCAGTGTCCCACATCTCTGCATGGATGTGTTTGTTTTAGGGACCAGAGCAGAGCGCATTTGTGTTTAATTCCCAATATATTTTTTATTTCTCTAACAATCTTTGCTGTTCCTTGGTAGCTGCTGTGGTTGACATTTTACACCCCAGCGCCAGAAAGCTGCATCAGGTTATGTCATCGCTTACTAAGTCAGATTGGAAGTGTGTTAAATTTCAAGCTATAACCAGAATAGTGCGAGAGCAGGGAGCACTTTCTCCTCATGTCACAGAGAAGGTGGCAGAGATATAAATGCATACATTATGTGGTACTGCTAAGCCTTCAGTATTAATTTTCCTTCACTCCTTTCCTCCTTGCTACCGCTCTGTTTCTGTCTGTCAGTGCAGGAAAGGCTCAGTATTTAACAATGACCGGTCAGACGACCAGTTAGGATGAAGAGAAAGTGGCTTTCAGTGAGTGGAAACAATAGGAAGTCATTGCAGCTGCAGCTGTGGTTCCCCCGTTTTACTTTGAATGTGTAAACTACCTGAAAAGGCATATAACGAAAGCTTAAATACAAGCAGGGTACATCTTAGAGGTTGGAAATGACATGATCTACAGCAGTGTGGAGGGTCTTTGTGGAGTTCTTGAAGGTAAATAGGAAATGCAGACAAAGGAAACAGTTATACAACTCATGTTTCCCCTTTCAGAAACAGCTTAAATCTGGTTTGACCCCGTGGGGATTAAATGCTGTGAAAAAAAAAAAAAGAGTAGACTGAGGCGAGGGGTGTGTGGCCCTGCTGATGTTGGTCCTCAAGTTGAAACAAAAGTCTAAAATTCCCTTTATGGAGATGGATTCTCACTGAATCTTGATGCATAAGTGCAGCAGTCCCTCTAGGCCACCTGTCATGTTGCTTCTTCATTTGGTTCCGTTCGTTGAATGCAGCAGCATTTGTGGTCTGAAGACTCTCTGTTTTTTGGTCATTTTATTGTTAAGAAGGGGTAAAGACAACATATATTAACAGGACAATGAAACAGGATGGAGGAGACACACAGACAGACAGATGAACTTATGCAGAAAGACAGGGGGGTTTCCCAGGGGCCCCAGGAGGCTGTCAATCATGACCTCCTTCTCCTTTCTGAAAGCTGTTACAACCTTCCAAGCTAGTCTCTGCATTAACCTTATTTTAGGCTTTGTTGAAGTGAAAGTTAGGCAACTTGCATTGCTAAACTTTAGAGAGCAATCAAACATGAAAAAAAAAAAAGAGCGATGGGTTTTATGAGGATGGTTTTATGATTCCAGTGAGCAGGAAGTGGCAGCAGCAGCAGCGGTCAATATGAAAGCGGGGCTGAGATGTCAAACGCTACCTTGTTTCAGCTCTGGGGAATATAAATCACACACTGTTTGGCTTCTTCTCTCTCTGATGCCCCCTCAGCTCTGTGGTCAGCTGTGAACTGTTGCCCGGGGAGACCAGGGCAGAGGCTGCTGGCAGCCAATGAAAGCAAAGGATGGCTGGGCTCTGCCCGTGCATGTCGTTACTGCGACCACAGCAGCACGGGCAGCGTCCGGACCCGGGGAAGGGTGGCAGGCAGTCGGACCACTTTGGTGACTGCTGCTTTTTTCCCCCAGGATCTTTAACCCTTCATTGTGGGCAGATGGCTTTCCGCCCAATGAGTTGGGTTGCTGTCAAGGTTGCTGCCTGTTGAAAGAATGTCAAACGCCAGCGTATTATAAAGAAATCATGCAAAAAATTCAATGACCAGCACCAGGAAACTGTTGCTTTGGCATCATAGACTATGGTGGGTCTTTCATCAATGAAAAGTTGAAACTAGCAGAAATATATACAGAAAATTCCTCTTTAGTTGCTGTTTTCCTTTCGTCTGCATTCGATAAGTTGCTTTGAAACTTACATCAGTTCCCCTCTAGCATCTTACTTCTGTGCCGACAAAAACTGCATTTTACAGACACATCCATACGACGACCACCACCACGCTCGTAGCAAGTGTAGCGCAGCATTGACGTGCAGCAAAAGGAATGTATCATTAGCAAATACCAAGCTACCAGCAGCAGCAGCAGCAGCTCTGCAGCGGAGCTAGCCTTTTAGTCCCAGCGGTGTGCAGCTCTCAGCCGTTTTGTTAAAGCCCCATTCAGGTGTCATGTTGAAACTAGTCTACATTACAAGTCTTAGTGGGAGTTAAGCATTCAGATGCAAAGAGAGGGAGAGCGAATGAGAGTGAATAAGTGTTTTTTTTTTCTCTTTCCCTCTTGTCTGGCTGCTTGTTTGGTGGTTAGTAAATTGTTATCAAGCTTTCAATGCCTTTTTTTTAGCAAAGCTGAAAACACATAACGGATTTGGAGGTAGAAACACCTTTGCACAGATTTCTTTTCCGGCTTTGTTTTCTCTCCTAGGTCGTTTATGAAACCAGTTTTGATCTACAGCGAAAGAGGAAAGTCTTTTAGGGCAGGATCTGTATTTGGTAATTGGGCAGGGATCAGAAGTCTCTGTCTCTGTCATTAGCAGGAAGAACACGGCTCTTTCCAGATCAGCAGTTCGTCTGTGCAGAGATGCATGGGGCGAACGTTCTGACTGAAGCAGTGGATTATGGGGGATTATCAGGGGTGTAAGGCACTCTCCTCTGTAAGTCTCGGCTGTGTGTGTGTGAGAGTGTGAGCTTCATCGTCAGCGTCTTCATTAGGCATTGATTTCACCAGGGTGATTGACGGTCTCACAGCTGCTGCTCTGCCTTCTCCCCTCACACACAAACACACAAACACACACACAGGGACACACACACACACACACACACACATGGTGCTAATTCAAAGTCTCTCTCTGTCTCCATTAGATTCTCCAGACTCTGGACCGTCATGCAGTGAAACTGGGGGAACAACATACTCAGCCCCTGTGGGGCTTTCAGGTAAATATACAACAAATACACACTTTTCTTTCTCTCCTTCTCTCTGTCATTCTATCTTACTTGTCTGTTTTCTTTTCCTACTCCTGTGCATTCCTCCCAACACACACTCCATACTTGTGATGATGAGGCAGTGATTGTGGGGGCCCCTGCTTCCCCTCTGTAATAAAAAAACCTCAGTGAAGGAGGGTGGTGTATTTCTCCCACATCCACATAAATTCCTCCCTTCTGGCTCCACGAACAACGCTCCCCTCTTCTCCTCTTCCTCTCATCCTTCTCCGCGTTGTGTCGTAATGGAAGACAAACATGCCGAGTCGTTGTTTGGAGAAGAATATGCTCTGTTGCGTGCTGTATTGTGGGAGGAAAACATTAAGAAATAACTAAAAAAGGTTTGAGCTGACATGCGAGTGTTTCATCGTGTTTGTGCGTACAGGGGGTATGAGTGTGTGCGGACTCTCCTCTGGGCGAGACGCAGGCGCTTTTCTTTCTTCCGCCTGTCTTGCAGGACGTGTTTCAGGCTTCCTCAGCTTTTCTGCCCCCATAATCCCCTTTGGCTGTGTTACCCTGTCCGCAGGCTACAGAAAAAGATGGAGTTCACAGGAGAGAGGGTTTGCTCTGTGCTGCTCTCTGCTTTCCTCCGCCTCAGATGGTTCTCATTACTGGGCCTTTAAAGCCTGTTTTATGTCAGTTGGTGTTGGCTGCTCGTTTCTCCCCCCTCCTCCTTTGTTTGGTGGTAGGGGGGTTGGGGGAGTTGCCTGCTCTCTTGCTTGCTAGCATGTGTGTGTGTGTCCTTAGCTGGGGTAAGAGATTCTAGTACAGGAACCAAAAATCAGTCAGATGCCCACTAAAGACACATTTCAGACCCAGGTCTAACTGTGAAACTCAAGATCTGGAGTCTTGACTGGCGCCCCTTTGCTCCCTCCATACTCCTTGCCTCCCTCAGCTTTCCCGCCTCCTCTTCCACCCCTGTTTTCCTTCCTGGCGAGGATGACATGGCAGCAGCAGTTCCACTGAATGGGCCTCCTTAGAAAAAAAGCACTAGAGGTAGAAAGGCCGAGCCAGGATGGCCAAAGCACTCTGCCCTCGCAATTTCCCCAGCAAGCCACATTAAAAAAAGGCTTCTTCTTTCCTCCTCCTCCTTATGCTCCTTCCCTGCTTCCCTCATTCGCTCGCTCCCTCCCTCTGGGACCTTGACAAAAGAAACATGGCTCTCCCAGAGGCCTGCTGCTGACCTTCTAATTCACTCACTCTGCCCTTTTTATGTTCTCCTCCAGACGTTTTACAGAGAGGAAGAAGGAAGGGAGAGGAGGGTGGCGAAGACTCGGAGTTAGCATGAGCCGTGTTGTTACTTTTTTTAATCAAACATTGAAGTAAAGCAGCCTAGTTTAAGAGTTTTAGCTGAGTAAGTCAGGAAAACTACCCATAAGAAGCCCTCATTTTTCTTCAAACACAGTTAAACAGAGTCGATGAGGCAGGAGATAATACCCTTGGAAAAATCTAAGACTTTCCAGGCTGAAAGGGGTTAATGGAGCTGCGACAGCGACAAGCACAAATGCAAACTAGGCTGCCTGCCAGGCTACAAGCTCCAAAGCTCCTCTTGCTGGCTCACGTCATCAGCTTGGAACAGAGCAGAGAGGAGGAGGAGGAGGAGGGAAGAGGAGAGGAAAGGAGGATGGAGGAGGAGTCCATGGCTGGAGGCCTAGAGTTGGGTGTCGGGGTGCTGATCTTGGTTTGAGCTGGGGTGAGGGCTTAGCTCAGGGGTTAAAGGTTCTCCCAGGAACTGAAGAGGAGAAGGATTAGGAGAGAGATTTGGGAATGGAAGATTGGGTCAGGGTTTGGTGTATGCTGGTTTGTTGGTTATGAATCTGTTGAGCGCCAAGTGATATTGAAACCAGTTAGAGACCAGATTCTACAAGAGCAGCTCAGGTAACACCCACAGGACCAGACTGCCGAGCTCTATTAGGTCTGGTTTTTGAGTTGTCAGGATTAAAAAGTCCACGTGTGTCAGGTAAGGATGAATACGATTAAAAATATTGCCCTGCTGGTGTTAGTGCTTTGTTGGGGATACCTAAACATCATTAATACACGAAAAATGTGACTGTCTGAGAGGATACTGATGCAGATATATTTAATGGACCCAACTGATTGAATGACAAAAGGTTCGATCACTTAACGCAAAGTCAAAACGGCTAACGGTGTAAATGTGTCCAAAAATGGCAGAAATTGAATGGAGTTTGGTGCAGTCTGATTGAAAAGTAAATAAACCAGATTAGAGATTATGGCCAGACTTTCACGACCAGATTTCTGTACTTTTGGGCAATTTTTCTGTCCATGGATAGTTGCTGTTAGCATTGAGGATCAGTACCCGCCCAGTAACACACACACACACACACACACACACACACACACACACTCGTCTTTAAAGTTGTCTTATAGAGGCATGTTGGTGCTCATCTTTTATTGGATGTGTAGCATCAGTGTATATGTGTGTGTTAGTCAGTGGCGTGCCTGCTGGTGCCATCGGGGACTGACCCAGAGTGCTTGTGTGTAAGAGGATCCAGTCAGGCTGCGGTGACACGTACACACACACACACACAAACACACCAACACATACACACAGGCAGGCAGATAAAATGACCTGGTGCGAGCCCTGGCGCACAGCCGACTGTCACACAGGCGCTTCCTCCCACTGCAGGTTAAATTTAGGCCGAGTTGTATTCTTATACCCCCAGCCAGTCACCTCGCTCGACAGACAGTCGGCCAGCGTTTCAGTCAGTCAATTAGTCATCCAGTGAATCGGCTGGAGGTGTAACCTTCATCAGGGGCTCTGACAGGGATTAAATTTAGTCTTGGCACCTCGGCTCATTAAATCAAAGTCGTTCTGCTGTCATATAGAGGGTCCTGAAGAAATGACCCAATTCTGGAGCAAACCCAGTGAGGGAAAAGGGCCTGCGTGTTGTTTTAATTTGTCTGTCACACAAGAAGTGAGGTTTGAATTACTTATCACCAACCTTAACACACAATCTTATAATTTTTTGGAAGCCAACTCAAAGCAATCAGGGGCTCCAGTCAGTCAGAGACAGAGCACCCTCAGTGTTGCATTCCTGCCTTGTTTGGGTTAGCAGGCAAAGGAAAGGGCTACGCAGGATATGACCTCATGTCTTTGAGGAAAAGGCGAGTGGACAGGGAGGCAGACGAGGCCTCTTCTGGATGGAAAACAAACACTGGAGGGAACCAGCCAGAAAGAGGGAAGAAGTAAAACTTCGGAATAGGACTCGGAGATGTATATGTAGCCATTTAAGAGATCCTATCCTCACCATAAAGCTGTTTCTGCTTTGGCTGATGTTTCTGCCCCAGAGTGAGAGAAGATGGCGGCTTTGGGTGGAGGGAGAGATGGCCGGCAGCTCTGCTCTGTTCTCTGTAATTTGGAGGCTGCGTGTTCAGCTAGTGAGCTGCAGAGCCGGGCTGCTCCGTGCCGGGCCAGGATCTCTCATTACTCCCCACTTCCTCTCCTTGCGCGGCAGCCAAGCCGCGTCTTGGCAAGGGACTTAATTTTTGGTTTTGGCCGTCCTCTGTTCCACACCCTGTGTCATTATGCTGCACAAATCGAAAAAACAGCATGCAGAGACAGCGGAGGATGGAAAGAGGGGGGAGAGAAGAGCTGGAGGAGAGGATGGAGGAAAGTGTGCCTCGCTTGTTGTTTTTGTTCAAGACTCTCTTACTTCAAGCACCAAAACAGTTGATACATTAGCCTAGCTTAGCATAGCCACTTGACTGAAAGGTGGGATATGCAGATTTGGCTGCGAGCCCGAGCTTGGAGGGAAGCCCAGAACAAGATGAACATTGTTTTGGTTTGCAGTCACTCTGTGGAAGTGGATTTTGACATTACCTCAATGTACGGAGACATGAGAGAGAGAACAAGCCAGAGACAGTGAGAGAGAGAGAGAGAGAGAGAGAAGGGAAGGAAGAGAGAGACGCCCACCTTTTAGCAGGATAAAGACGGATATGGAAATAAGTGGAGACACATTCCTGTAAACCTGTGTGTATTTGTGTGTGTGTGTGTGTGTCAGATTTCTAGTGTGACACACAGTCCTGCTGTCTCCACCCTCCCGCCTGCTCATTCATGTAGTCAGTTTGTCTTTTGTCTACGCAGACTGGAGGGGGTGTGTGTCTTTTTTATCTCGGCGACAGACGCAGGCCTGTCAGTAGCCACATCTCTATCACACACACACACACACATACACACACAGAGGTACATAATTAATAATAACAGTGTAACAACACACTGAAACAGAGGTGCACAACTGGCTGTGCTGGTTGTCTGCCTCCCTGATTGTGGTGTTGTGTGTTATTCAGTTCCCACGGTGTTTTAGCGCCATAACAATGTGACTGATTGTTCTTCTTGTCTGTCCATCTGTCCGTAGCGCCCAGTGTGTGTGTGTGTCAGAGATAGTGATCCTGAGAGTGATCTCCTGACTTGTGTGTTTGCAGAAAGTGAGCTGATGACATCATTCAGCCAGCCTGGCACCCTGTTCCCAACGAGCCTGTGTTTATTTGTCCTGTCACCCTGGGAAATGTGGGCTGCAGAGGATCATTGTGTGTGTATGTGTGTGTGTTTTTGAGGGTCAGTATGATGAAGTGCTGGAATAATAACTCTGCAGGAGTAGAGCAAAGTGTTGCCAGGAATGGAGTCTCCTAAAGCGCTGTAGTTTTGAAACTTTGTGGTAAATATGACGCCAGATTAAATATGAAAATTCCTCCTTTTGAAATCTCACACTCGGAAAAAACACAGCGCTGAGCCACATTAAGAACTCTGCATCGTGTAATTAAAGCAGAGACATCCACTCAGAGAGGATCACACTATAGATGGAGGCATTAGCAAAACATTTCTCCTCCTTATCTCCTCCAGATTGAGACCGGATGGTTCATGTTAGAGATGGCGTGTCTGCAGCTCGTTCTCTCTATCTGTGTTTCTGCGAGGAGTCAGATCTGTAGATAGCGAAACTGTGCCACTCCCCTGTGTGGTTTTCCTGCCATCAGGGCTTGTTTAGGTTTCCTGAAGTGGGGGTAGGAAAGACTTTACATCTTCTTATGTAACCTGCCACCCTAAAGAGGCATTTCCTCTTTCAGCTGCTAAACACCTCTTTAACAATATGTTTTTCTCTTTTTCAAAGTTGTCTGCTAACAGTAAGGCTTAAATGAGACTATTTTCATATGAGGCTGCATCATGATAAATCTGAACTGGGTTACATGCAATATTCACTAGATAAGAGAGTGGGAAATGGCATTATACATTGTATTTGAACAGTGAATCATTTCATATTGAATGGTTCTGTATTATTGAATCATATTCTATCATATGTGCTAGGGTCGGAATGAGAGGATGAGAGGAAGCGAAAAGAAAGTCAAATGCTAAATCAGCTAAACAGTTGAAAAAATTGTATGGATCACAATATATTGTATCGCAATACTCTCTGTACTGAAAAAAGGCTTAAAATCGACTCGTGGCCCAAGTATCATGATAATATTGTATCATGATAATATTGTATCATGGCTTAAGTATCGTGATAATATTGTATCTTGGCTAAAGTATCGTGATAATATTGTATCGTGGCTAAAGTATCATGATAATATTGTATCATGGCTCAAGTATCATGATAACATTGTATCATGGCTTAAGTATCATGATAACATTGTATCATGGCTTAAGTATCGTGATAATATTGTATCGTGGCCCAAGTATCGTGATAACATCGTCTTGTGGCCCAAGTATCGTGATAATATTGTATCGTGGGGCCACTAGTGATTCCCACCCCTAGTATGTGCGTATCATGTATTCTCATCAGTGCACACTTTAGCCTAAATTAATGGCATTTACTGCGTGTGTTTTCATGCTATACTTGATCAAGATCAACTGACTACAATAATTATAATGGAGACAGAGTTGTTTATCTTTCAGGAGAGAGAAAAAAAACAGGCTTTAATGAGAGCCTGTGTTGTTTGTATTGATGTGTTTTTAACGGCTTTCTCTCTCCCTCTAAAGTGGTTCTGTCTTTGAATTCCTCGCTTACCTGGGAAATGAACACAACAGGCAACAAACCCTCTGTTTAGGTCTCTAACATGTATTAGCTTGAAAAATCAATGACACCAACTTTTTGGAGCACTCACACATAGTAGGAGAAATGCACACACACACACACACTCACACACAGTTGAACATACACGGCCTTGCAGAGAGAACAAAAGGAATGCCTCTGGGGTGACCCTTGACCTTTGGAATAGACTTTCCCCGGCTCGAGAGAGGGTGTTGACTTAGAAAATAAGGCACCATGAAGAGTCCTTCCTTCCCCCTCCAGCTATTTCCTTCATGCCTTCCCCATTCCTCTCCTCAGCCGCTGTGCGTGTTTTGTGTGTGTGTGATGACGACAGGGTCATTACACATTCGAGGCGCACACACACACACACGTACACACATACTGGGTCTGAGCTCAAGGGGATCGATATGAGACAGTTCTCAGGAGCCTTCCCACAATTTACCGACGTTGATGGTGTTGCGTCCGAGACTGAAGGTTGTAAATTTTGTGCGTGTATGTGTGAGGGTTTAGGCGTGGGACTCTTGCTGAAGTATAGTAGTGACTGAGTGTGTGTGCTGGAGTGTGTGTATGTGTGTGTGGAGTCAGACAGAGGTAATGATTAACCTTTCCAGACTGCGTTTCGGCCCTGTGAGAAGCACCCAGTCTGTCCTCACCCCTCCTCTCACATGTCCCTCCCCCCCCGCTTCAACTGAGTCCAATTGTCTCGGCTAGCGTGGCGTCCACTCTTTAAGGTCTTGGACCATTAAAATCCACAGGGGAGCCAGCATGTTTGTGTGTCGACTTGCAGAATCTGCCCCCCTCCTGTGCTGTGGTTTAAATATTTTGTATCCAAAGGGGGTTTATTTAATCACAGATATTTACAGTCCCCCCTGCCCCCTACCTCGCAGACTATAAGCTGATCATCTATTAAATACCTCGAAAACAACGGAGCGATATGCTGTTTTTGTTTGCATTTAGCAGCTCCTTGCTACTGCTCCTCGCATTAGAAAACAGTAAATTATCAACGTTTAAGCTCTCAAATAAATTTAGTTTTGGAAACACGTTCAAATGAAGCGAGTTCTTTTGATTGGCAGTCTGGATTGGGGTTTACATGCAGCCCCCCATGAGACGATCTAGACTGGGACAGACCAGCAGCAGAGCAGAATAGAAAAGGTCGACGTGACAGATGGCCTCAGGCTGCCAGCTAGCCTGCTTATCTCCAGCGAGGAGCCGCCCGAGACACACACACACACACACACACACACTCACATGCACACACACATAAACGGCCTGAGAGCAGACGAGCAGGTGGGGGTGGCAGACAGATAGACGGACTAATGCTCCGATAGGCAGACATCCAGAAAGCAGACAGACACACAGACAGATGTACAGACAGCTCTGGAAGTGTTCAGGGGCCGGAGCGGATGGAAACAACGTGCTGCAAGGACAAGCGGACTTGGCGCAGACACTCTGACGACACCGTCTGACACACACATGAACGCACACCTATGTGAGAAGCACCTGAAATAGTGTCGGCGAGTAACATGAGGAGCGCGACTGTGAGACACCTCACACGCGAACACACTATGAGTTAAAAATTAAAAGTCAGCCGAATGAGCCTCGCACTTGGAACATGAAGTGTTGATACAGGGCCATGCGCATTAGTGCGTGTCTTTATATTTGTGTTTGCTTTCTTTGTACAGCAGCAGCACACAGGTGGTCTGAGTTCATCCTCAACAGGAGGGGGTGTGAACACAGTCCTCAGGAGGCTGCAGTAGCCTTTTTCAGCCTAAAACTAGCTTACCTGTAAGCTTATTTTCAACCAGACAGAAGTCTATAACTCTATTTGTGTTTGTGTCTTTGTTTGGATAGACCGGCTCACCCTCTGAAATTAGCTTCCAGTCGCTCTCTTATCTAACTGTGGCTGAGGAATGGGAAGAATTCAGGATAGCTGTTGTCACACTGCTGAGCCAGAAGCCCTAAATCACTACACTGCAGTGCTGGAAATTAACTTAGGTACTGCTCTCACTCCAATAGAACTCCTCAGGTTTCATTTTATGAATATTTATACGACTATTATGAACTTTTTACTCTCTTTTTACTTTGATCAACATGATGAGAACTCTTTGAGATATACTGTAGCGCTCAGGCGGAAGTTTAAGAACATCTTAAAAAAAGGTGTGATGTTGATGTCATTGTTTCATGTATGTTTTGGTTTTAAGCTTCCTGGTTATAGAAGAGGTAAAGTGTTTTAAAGCAGGCGTCCCAGGGTTGAGCTACTGAAAGTGTGCATTTTAGGGAGGTTAGGTTTGACACTTAAAGTTGTAACTTTTCACTCTTACCAGCTTTCTTTTATCCTTCTCTTGTTCGAGAGGCCTAGTAATATAAAATTAGAGTTTTGCATAAAGAGATATTTGATCTCTTCTGTTGTTTTTCTGTCTCTTCAATCCTCCTCTTTTATTCTTTCTTGACTTTTATCTTCTCTGTGCCTCATAAATGCTTCCAGTATGAGTTAAGGAGAAGAGAAGAAAAGAGAAGAGAGGAGAGGGGAAGAGAAGAGAAGGGAAGAAAGGAGAGGAGAGGCGACGAGGGAGGGGAAGCGGGGCAGTTAGTGTAGTCCTGAATAGCAGGGTGTTTTCAGGCTGCAATGACAGGCTCAGACAGGCAGCCGCTCTAATGACCTCTGACGCCAGGCCCTGTCTCTCTCAGCAATAACAAACACACACACACACACACATGCAGAAAAAACACACACACACACACAAACTCTCAGGGCCCCACAGGTGAGCTCCACCAGCAGGCCCTCTGTCAGCTGTTAAGAAAGTCCAACTCGTCTTTCTCCTTGTAAAACCTGACTGCTCCCAAACGTACATGTGAAACAGACCAGAGGGAAAACAGCTCAACCAGTACGAGACACAAAAGACGTCTTCTGTCTCTTATCGCAGAGATAAACGCTCTCTCTCCTTCGTTAGGTCTCAGGTAGATTGCTGGGTACTTAGTTTCCCCAGCACCCTATGAGGACGGATTTACGATAAACTCCCTGAGGCTTGGCTCTGACCAACTTCAAAGCACACAGCCCCTCTTGTTTTATGGAAGGCATGCTTTCAGTTTTTCTCCCCCCTCCCTCTCGTCTCCTCTCCTCTTCTCTGTTTCTGTCTCTCCTTTGCCTCTCTGTTGTCTTTTTCTTCCCCTTTTTTTCCCCTCCGTCTAATGAAGGCTAATGACAGGCCGCGGTGAGTCCGCTCGGGCCGGCAGAGATCCTGCTGCATTAACGTCGCAGTTTGTCTCAGACGGGACCTTCCAAATTACCGGTTACACTCGCAGCTACCGCCAGATGAAACGAGGAAGAGAGGAGGAATGGGGGGGAGAGAGAGAGGAGGCTGGGAACTGAGAAATGGTTCTGAGACGGGCTCTTAATTTTTTCCCTCTCATGTATTCCTCTCAGCTCTTGAAGCTTTCTTAACCCTTGAATGTGTGTCTCATCATGAAGAGAGGATGTTAACAAGATTATGAACCGTTGATAGGAGTTTGAGCAATCGGGTGACCTTTTTGAAAGCACAAGAGGCACTTAAAAAAAAACGAGAGAGGAAGCAAAGTTGCAAAAGTAATAGTCAAAATATGTGAAAGCATTCCTTCTCTTCCCCACCCCGCCCCCCTTTTCTTTCCTCTCTTCGTCTCCCTCTATTTCCCTTGCGCCTGACTGGCTCCCACTTTTCTCGCTGGGAGTAGCTGGGAGCCAGATTTCTGTGGAATAGAGATATGAAGGGGGGGAGAGGGACGGCGCAGGAGGCACACTAAAGGGAGACGGCAGAGGGAAGAGGGGAGGGAGGGAGGAGGGGTTTGGAAACTGGAGCACAGCCAATGCTACACTTCTTTTACGCTCAGGGGAAACTTTAGACTGGAGAGGCCTAGCTTGTCAACGATTCAGACACCAGGGTCTGAGAGTTAACGGCCTGCCCTGCTCGACAGAAAACACCATGTGCTCCGCTGAGGACAGGGGATAGTTTATGTGTTTACGTGAACGCTTTTTGTCTCGTTGCTGTGAATTCGGTAGTTTATTTCCTCCCGTAGAGTTGAGAGAAAGACGATTAGAAAAGGCAGTTGACGTCACTGAGTTGTTGGCTGCAGCGCTGCAAAAATACAGCGAGCCAGACAGAAGATAAGCATTTAATGCCTAGACAAATATTGTACTGCATGTGGATACTTGCCTGCCAGTGTCTCTGAGTTGCTTCTCTTGTCTGAAGTCCAAAAATTCCAACATGGTTTTCCTGTATGGCAGAAATGGAGGATGACAGTAAAGATTTGGCTCTTGACTAAAGTGAATTCTCGATTTCCCAATACAGGGATAAGGAAGAGGTTTGGTTTGGTATTTGCTTTTAATTTGGAGGCATCTTCAGGGGCGTGTTTGGACTTTTTCCCATCTGAGGAACTTATAATGATAAAGGATGGAACACATGCGATGCAGGGGGCAACTTTACTGTTTTTTTATTGTTTTTTGTGGTTCTTTTTAGACTTAAATGAAGATGTATTAAGAATATCATCATAAGAGTATCAACAAAAGAAAAGAAAGCTGCATTAGAACTCCAAAGAAGCTGTTTTTTCGGCAGACTCGACGAGTTAATTCGCACTTCTACCTTAGCTAATAGCCAATTTTAGTTGTTAAGAGGGTGCCTGGGGCCCATGCCACCCCCTAGCAATACCCCCGATCATCAAACTCTCATCCTTTCCTCCTCTTGTCTCTTTCTTTAAACTCTTGATCTGTGTTTTCATGTCTGATGTTCCAGCTTGAGTATTTTGAGTGACAGTCCTGACCGTCTCCTCCCTCTGTTTCCTTCTCTAGATTCCTTGGCATTGCAGGAGTCTGGTGAGCGGGCCCATTGGTGCGTGGTGGCATACTGGGAGGAGAAGACACGCGTCGGGCGCCTCTACTCGGTCCAGGAGTCCTCTCTGGACATCTTCTATGATCTACCTCAGGGGAACGGCTTCTGCCTGGGCCAGCTCTGCTCTGAAAACAAGTCCCAGCTGGTGCAGATGGTGCGGGCCAAAATCGGCTATGGCATCCAGCTGACGCGTGAGCCGGACGGGGTGTGGGTCTACAACCGCAGCTGCTACCCCATCTTCATCAAGTCGGCCACACTGGACAACCCGGACTCACGCACGCTGCTTGTGCACAAAGTGTTCCCTGGTTTCTCGATAAAAGCGTTTGACTATGACAAGGCCGGGAACCTGCAGAGGCCCAATGACCACGAGTTCACGCAGCAGCCTCGCACAGGCTTCACGGTGCAGATAAGCTTTGTGAAAGGCTGGGGACAGTGCTACACCAGACAGTTCATCAGCAGCTGCCCGTGCTGGTTAGAAGTCATCTTCAACACCCGATAGCAGCAGCCTTCCTCTTCTTCACCCTCGCCCTTTCACAAAAACAGACTCCACCCACTTTCCTTTTTTTTTTTTCTTCCCGCGGTTCAAACAAGTTCTGAAAGAAGAAGAAGAAGAAAGTATAAAACTCTGACGGACTTTGTTTAATAAATGACTAAGATTTAATTAAATAAGAAGCGAAAAATGTATTTTATGTTATATATAAATATATTATTAATTGTAAATATGGAGACGTTTTATATGCATCATTATTTATGTATTGTGCAATGTGTTGATGAGAAAAAGAAAATAAGATGCACTTTGCTTAATATAAATGCAAAACAAAGAAATGCCAAAATAAAAAAAAAATACAAATAATATTTCACGGCTGTTGATGTTTTATCTTGTGTATCTCCTCGGTTATTTTCTTGTGTTTTCATCCCTATCTCTGATCTGAACCATACTTCTTTACAACTTTATTTGTCTATAATCTTTATTTTGTGGAGAACATTGAATTTTCATGAATAAGAAAGCCAACGATGGCTCATCTTGAAAGTCATGCCTCGTAAAAGCGTTTCCTTCTGAGATAAAATGAGTCAGACTGTGACGGGGTGTAACTCATCGCCCCTGCACTCATTACGCCTTTCAAATCAGTCTGTTCCTTCTGAGTTATTTTGGGATGACTGTCCCTCTTCCTCTGTCATTAACCAACGGTGACATCACAACCAGGAAGCGGTAATGACAAATATCAGGAACCAATAAAGTCAACAGGGGCCCCGACTTCCTGGAGGAGCCTCTTTCATTTTAATGGCTGATAAAAAAAGAAAATCAAACAAAGGAATGTTACACATCAAACAATGACACTGAGAATTCAGCGCCACATTAGAGGAAATGAGCACACAGGAGAATGTACTGGAATATTACAACACCATTTCAACATCTTAGATAGTGGAGAAACGGTCTGAGTGTGCGGTCAGAGACAGTGGCCTATTTGTGACCTATTGTATTTCAAAACGAGACCAAACAAAATAGATTTCCTTCTAACAAAATCTGTGCGCATGTGTGTGTGTATGTGTGTGCATGTATTTGTGTGTCTGTCTGGGCCTCGTCCTGTTGCTAGTCAGATGGGTGTCTGTGAAGAGGATTACTACTGTAAGCCTGCTTTACCCGCACACACATACACACACACACACTCTCTCAAAGACCTACATTTACAAGACCCACTTTCCACACCCTCCAACCCCCATCCTGTGCACTGCTCATCAGCGCTTTGAAAACATTTAATTTTATTTAGAACATGTGGAGAAAACAACACATTTTAATGAGGGGATGAGGCACATATGTGTGGACTGGATTCTCTGACCCTTTGAGTATTTTCATGTAGAATGGTCAAGTGGAAATATTAGAAAACTTGTCAGGGAGTTAGGATTTTATTATCTCAGCAGAACTGACATTCACTGAACTGTCATCTCCTCACATAAAATAATTACAATCATTTCCAGAATTTTAGCCTTAAAGATTTTAATAATATTGGCCAATAATAATAAAGATTACAACATCCTCAGAGTATCTACACTCTGTTTTATCTATGAGAATGCCCAGTGCATGAAACAATAAGTAAACCTAAAGAGAAAAACTGTATAACCAAGACAGAGACAAATTAGACAACAGACTACCAGAATGTTGCCCACCCAGGGGGTTGGCCCACATGGTGGGACCCTGTTCCTTGACATCATGCACTTTAAACTCATGGCTGTCTGCATGCCCTCACAACAGTAATCCTTAACCCCGCTAATACAACTAAAGCGGCTCCAAGCTTTGTGTTTGTGTAGTGCGTGTGTGCGGTGCGTGCGTGTGTATGTGAGCGAGAGGACTAGCCTTATACCCATGACTTCTCTCAGACAGGGTGACCCTGATTCTGCCCAGCAATGAGCCCATTAAATATTTCACACAAGGACAGCCTCTCCAAAAACACTTGTGTATTTCTAAAGCTGATCCTAGTGTTATTTGGTTCAACATTTTAAACTCTGACATATTCTAGGTCAAGATGCTTAAAAAATAGAAAAAATCTCTGGCACTTCTGGCTGTGAAAAGGCCTTGGGGCAGTTTATCTAACACTACCAGAGAGGGTCTGATATTTCAAACAAGAAAATAAATCAAAACATCTGAAAAAAAAGTTTAGTGGCAAAAAACTTGGTGATTTTTTGCCACTTAAACAGAGAGATCATATCATCTTATTCAGTTTGTATTTTGGTGTCAGTCACTTTCAACAAGGGCAAATCAAGTTGGTGAAACAGCGCCCCTCTTAATCCTAGTAGCATCTACATGTTAATGAGTCAGTGTGGTAAAACGAGGTATTGCACTCTTGCTGTTCTAGCTATTTTGAATGTGTTTGAGTAGCTGGGTGAAGTTAGCATCCTTTTATTAAACTCTACCGGGGTGTTAACGACAAAATTATCGGGTGCAGTTGTGCCTCCGAAACAAAAATCCAGAAAAGGTCTCAGGCCTTTGAAAAGGCAAAGAAAGGGTGACCTGTACTTTGAAACCCCTGCCAAATTGACGCACATGCAGTGGGATATGACAACTCGGAACTCGCTAATGCTAATGCTAATGCTAATACTCAGCATGCGCGCCCGGCGGTGCAGCCCGTGTGCGCCACTGCAACTCATTCGGCCTTCAACATTATTGGCCTTTATGCTTATTGGTTCCCTTATTGACATGCTCCACATAGCTCTGCCTGTCTTGAAAAACAATGACCTGACACGTCTGAAGAGGCTGTCAGCGTTACAACACCAGGAAATTGATATTGGAAGACAGAGACGCTGCAGTGCACAACTGAATATTGTTCTGTCAAATGATACGACATACTGACTCAATGTTAAATCCACTCGCTTTGTGAGACCAGCAGCTTAGCCCAGAATCTGAAGTTGACACCCATCCTGAGAAATTTTCTTTTTGGCAAGTTAATTTCAGATGTCTGCTCCCCGTATATGGATAAATGTCTGAACCAAAATAACCACGTAATGAAAAATAACTACATTGAGTATTTTTTAGAAACTAAAATGACCTGCAGTCGTTCTCTCTCTTGTTCCTCTCCTATCTGGAGGTTGTTTCTTTGTGGGATGAAGCTGATATACACTGAAATTAGCTACTCCGCTGAAACCAGCTTTTGGGATGAAGTCAATAAAGAATCATTTATAGTTGTGTTTGCTATGAATTCACTAGAGACTTGATATATATGCCTACATTCATGGATATGTTTCAATTTCCTGAGAGAAAGTGCAATCCACACTTACCCACTCAGAATTTTGGAAGATTCCCCTTAACTGACTGACTGACAGAGTTTAGCTTTACCTGAAGTGTCAAACATGTTTTTCACAGACAGTGACAAAGACTGGGGTTTCGACTCCCCTCCTCCCACACGTTAAGAGGGAAGAGGAGGAACAATAACAGTGACCAGAAAATCTTTAAGAATCTATTCGAGCACATGACTCTGTGTTATGTGTACAGAATTCTTTGAATTGTGTCTCTGCTGTTTCTTCGTCTGTTTCATGTAAAATAAAATAATAATGAAAAAAGGTGTGTTTGTTTCAGCCTTTTATCACTTAGTATTATGAAGCTCTATCAGTCTGCGTGCTGTACCGCCCTTTGTAAGAATCAAACCAGCGTGTGGTTTGTCTGTGGTTAACACACCCATGCAGTCTAGAGTAGGTTAGCCACTGTGCATGTGTGAGTGAGTGCGTTTTATGTATATTTATATATATGTGTGTGTAGACCTAGGGGGTTGGGAGTAGAGCAGGGTCTGTAGGTGGGGCCTTGCAGCCTGTCTAGGTGGGGGGTTGCTTTGTCGGTGGCGTGTTCTTTGTGTACGCATTGACCTTTTCACTTCAGGAATGATTTTTTTTCTAATGAGACTGTCATCTGTCATTGAATCCAATGTAAACATCCTTGTGGCTGTTTGAATAACATGTTATAGATTTGCCTACTATGCGAGTCATCTTAAACACCATTATTGTTTGAGACATCCTATATATCCCGTATATATAGATCAAAGGATCGCAAAGAGTGCTTTGTTGTTGCATCTGCGTGCTATGTGTCATATATTATCTGCTTGTCTGTGTGTGCAAATGTGTGTGCTCATGTGCATATATGTCCATGTACTCCTGCACACGTGCCTTCATGCATGCATGTGGGGATGCAACATAAAGTCTATGTCTGTGCCGGTAGACATAAAGCCAGACCCCCACCATCCCCCTCTTCCTCTTGCCTGGGGAGGAGATAAGACAGTCTGTCTATCTGGCTGCTCTCAGCAGGAAGGAGGGGCCAGGTCCCTGGATGGGAGGTTATAGAGGTGATGGGGTAGGGACAGTCTAGGCCGTGTTTACAGGCTGGATGTGTCAGTGGGGGGTTTAAAGAGGGGGACGGTCACTTCTGGCATTCTTATGTTTATTTAGCCCCAGTATGGCCTGGAGGCATGTTGTGCCTAACCTTGATGATCCGCAAGAAAGTCACAGTCAAACACAATTTACACACAAGCTCAGTGGCTTAAATGCACACACACAAATGCATGAGACAGGTATGTGAGACTGCGTGATCTCTTTGGATGTTACATAACTGATAAACAACTAGCGCTGACAGATTCATAAACACAGTTCTCTGATCATCATCACAAGGATGTTCAAAGACCTTCATTTTCCTCGTGTTTAATTTGGAGCAAATATTGATCCCTGCAGCAGGAGGATATTGTCATGCAAGACTATCTGTGCTGTTGTTGTGATTAGTGCTTGTGATCTGTGGAGAAGCTAGATCCGTGCAACTCCATACCAAAAGCGACTGTGCCAAATGACTTGTACTCTGATATAGTGCAGAGTTGCAGCATCTTAGTGCTTTCAAGGTGTGCACTTTTGGACAGCCTGCTGCTAAAAAATTTTCAGATTTGTTATTTATCCACAGGAGGTGTGTGTGTTTATGTGTTGCATGGATGTCTCGTGAGGCAAATTGTAAGGTCCAGGGTTTGAATCCCTGTCAGGTATAATAAGATAATAATAAAGTCTGAAAAAAAAGGTCATAGTAAAAAGATGTGATAAAAATATCATAGAATGGTAATAAAAATTTCAAAGTATACTATGATAAAAATTTTAAATTTAAGTATGGAAAAATGTCATAGTATCGTATGATAAAAATGTCATACGATACTATGATAGAAATTTCAAATTGTAGTATAAAAGAAAGTATGATAGGATAAAAATGACATCGTAAAGTATGATAAAAATGTCATACTATAGTATGTTAAAAAATGTCATGGTGTAGTATGACAAAATATTTTAAGTTATAGTTTGACAAAAAAGTCATTGTATAGTATCTGTTTGCTGTAGCTCTAGAGGTAGAGTATTTGTTAAGTAACCATAAAGTTGGCGGATCGATCCCCCCCTATCCCAATTGTCTGTTGTGTGTGTGTAGGCAAGATGAATATATCATATTAAAGTATGAAAAAACATCTACGATATGTATGAAAAATTCTGGTTTGAAAAAATTCATAGTATAGCATGATAAAAAATATCATAGTTTAGTATGATTAAAAATTTCATAGTTCAGTGTGATGACAATTTTCCATTTTATAATGAAAAAATGTCATTGTATAGTATGATAAAAAATTCAAATTTTAGTGTAAAACAATGTCATAGTAAAGTATGTAATAGTATAGTAGTATACTAGTATAGTAGTAAAATGTCATAGTATAAAATGATGAAAATATCATAGTTTAGTATGAAAAAAATGTCAAATTTGAGCATGAAAAGAAGGCATAGTATAGTATGATTAAAAAAATCAAAGTAAGGTATGATAAAAAAAAAGAATAATATCATTAAAATGTCATATCATGGTAGGGTAAAAATGTCACAGTATAGTACAATAAAAATATCATAATATAGTATGATAAAAATATTAAAGTTTATTATGATAAAAATGTCTCAGTACAAATAGGTGAAAATATCATTGTATATTATGTTAAAATATCATATTATAGTATTAAAATTATAGTTAAGTATGATTGTCTTATGGTCCTTCATAAGCGTCCCAGATTCAATAGCTGAAGGTCACACACAGGGAAGGGGCTAACTTTTTGAAATTAGCGTAGTGTAGTGCTCTGTTGCTTTGTCCAACATGATTTGGTTTCAATTACATGGAGATTTCTCCAGCATGCTTTGGATGTCATGTCCTGCCTCCCTATAGACTCCTGCCCACCACCCTTCTCATCTGACGGGGAAGACTTCATGCTGTGAGGAACGTGTGAACAAGCAGCTCTGGAAATTTGGAGAGCAGAGGTGTATGTGCGCATAGGACAAGGAGGCAGTTGACTCACCTAGATTTTTTGTGGGGATTGTAGTTCACTGACGAACAGCAGAAAAAGTCTAGATAAGTTGAGGCAAAAGACAACTGTTTACAATCCCACATGAAGCTCTCAGACTTGGGTCCAGCTTGTACAAACCACTGATATTTAACTCTACACCTGATGGTTCCTTTATCAATGCTTTCAACATTGTTCATCGTACTTTGCAGAACTATTATGTGAGGCATCGCAAGAGGCAGTCAGCGCAATTTGATAGAAGGCAGGGGCAGATGAAAATGCTGCTGTATATTGTTTACAATATCAGCTCTAAATATAGAACTGGATATACCGACTTACTGTAAGATCCACTCGTCTTGTAAGACCAGCAGCTTTCCGATATTCCAGAGATTTTCCGTCCCACAGAGAAGATCATGTATTCTTAAAGACTGTCTGTATCCAGTCCCTTGAAAACAAAGCTAATCTGTGATGATTTATGTATTAATTTAGGATGACTTGATAAACAGTATGGATCATACTGTATATGTAATTTTATCAACTGCCATCCTAATGTTTATTTCTCTGAAAATTCTGGGATATTGGGGGATATTTTTAGGGTGAAAATAAAAATGTTTGGTACTCTAGCTCTAAAATTAGTTACAGAATCAGTCATCATTCAGAAATGTTGCCTATTGTTGTACTAACTGTCATATTTTTAAGTCAACTCTTGGTCTAAATCACAATTCCCCTCATACTCCGATTGAAAAGTCAGAAAAGAGGAGAGAAACTCATTGAACTACAAGAAAGCTATCCTATCCTACCAAGTGTGAGGTGAGTTGATGGTACTGTTTTTATTTAGTTAATATTCAGGGTGAAATATTACTCCCTACTTACATATAAGCAGCTGAGGCATATTTCTAGAAGCATTTGTGGAGAGTTTTGTGGAAATCTGAATCTCAATTTAATTCAGCATATTGTAACAGGGATTGAACAATGCTAGTATGTACATAGGTGGTGGTAGTATCGACATATGAACATTAGTACTGTAGTTTGTAAGACCAATAACTGTGTGTAATACTCGCATTCACAGCGGAAAGAAATTTGAGTCATTGAAGATTTTGCCACACTTCCTTCCTTTTTTTGCATGCACTGCAAAAAAAAGTAGAAGATGAGACAGTAGTGAGTGAAAAAAGACATACAAAGACATGTGCAGCAGAGCCATGGTAGCGCCCATTCTGATTAATTTATCCGGGATTTGTTTGATAAAAAGCAGATACAGATAATCCACCAAATGCTGAATATCAACCCACCCCTACTTTGTAAACCGATTCTTCGTGTTCAAGCGTTGAATCTTGAAATGTTGAACCTTTGACAGTCTGTATTCTTCCATTGACTCCCATGTTATATATATTTTACCTCCAACGCCCCCACTCAGACATCGCATCACATTAAATCACCGCATCCAGCTCCCTCTTTGTCCCTCCTTCTCTTTCTGTATATTTACACAAAGAGTATCTGTGTAATATTACTGAAATAAATCAAGAGAAATGTCGGTGAACACACAGAACATGCTCTCTGAAATATGATTGATAGGTGCAATATCAGCATGAGACAAGCTGAAGATGACTACAATATCCTCTCTCTTTTTTCTTTTTCAATTATGTTACACAAGAAGAGCCATTTCCTTTGCCTCCCTCTTGATTATGAATTGCGCCGTCCTCTGTCCTATTGGGCCGTTTTCTCCCAGAGGCCAAAAAGAGAAGAAAAAAAAAACCCTGCATAGGAACAATGTTGATGTCAGTCTCACTGACAGAGCGCCGACTTTAATAAAAGCAATGGGAAATTCATTTTCAAAGGAAGGAAGCAGCGTGTGGAGACAAGACGGCTCCAAAATACGAGGCTGAAGGCACGGAGAAGCACTAGAGATACCCCGCTGGAGCACACTGATACGTGTGCAAAAACACACTGATGTCAAAGAGTGGATGCTGCATGTGAAAGTACACGACGTGCTGTCGCAGTATCACCAAAGAGCAGTGCAGCATGTAGACGGATGAGCGGCTGATAGGGTCGAACCTGTGAGGGCATTCCTTCCAGCAGGAGGGTAACAGACATGGACAACATCACCGCTGCTCCCCTCACAGTTTGGTGTGAGGTGACAAACGCCTCCATGTGGATTACAGCATTTCAGGCATTTTACAACCAGGTTAGCACTACAGCGGCAACACAAACCTCAGTCAGAGTGGAAGTCGAGAAAAGTTTTCAGCTGGAGAAAGTTTGAAATTTGAGTAAAAATGTGGTGATTTGACATGAAAGTTTGATCTTGAAAAATAAGCAGAGATCTGTTGAGTTTGATGCTGTATGTGTGTGTGCGTGTGTGTGTGCGTGTGTGTGTGTGTTTGTAAAGCAGACTGTAAGTTTCCTGTATGGACTGGAGTAAATGAGGGCTGAGGAATGTTAGTGCAGGGTAATCATGGCAGACCTACAGGAGTAACCAGATACCGACTGCCAGACTTCAGAGGGAGCGGGAATCCCTCCTCCACACAGACACACCACCTCCTGTAGGAGACGCTTTGGCTGGGACCTTAAGACTCAGACCCATCCCCCACTTTAACCCAAACCTGGCCTTTAGCACCCAGCCCCCTGCTCTTACATAAAATATCAAAGTTTTATCCATTTGCCCCTGTTTCGCGATATCTCCCAACATGCATGTGTGGTTGATCTGCAGCTGCTCTTAAGCTAAAGCTGTCACTTAATTGAGTTGGTACCTGACAAACAGAGTGCAACTACTTCAAAAAAAGTAACAAAAAATATTAGTTGCAAAAGTAGAAAATATAGCATCCCAAATTGTTGATTATCACGCATTTAAAAAATGGACTGTTACCAATAAACCCATGTAACTCCCATAAAGAGGCGTCATCAAGAGTTGTGATTGGAGTAAAAGTTATTCAACATTTTAAACATTTCCAGGAACTTGTATCTTAACATCTAAGTGCCGGGAAATATAGAGAAAAAAAGGCTGGTTTCACCCAAATTTTGAGACAGGGCATGGTACAAACTCACAGGAAGAGACACACACACAAAAACATACACACACATATGATGCAAAGGAAATGGTTGATCTTTATCGTGCTTTCTGGATCAGACCGTGACCCTGCTGTCTTCCTCCTCAAAACATCCTGTCTGACGAGAGAAAGGAAGAGATACAAACAAGATGGGGTGGATATTATTTACTGTGCCAAAGAGGAACACAGACCTACAGAATATATTAGATAAATTCAAGTTAAGTTACTCTTTGGAAAATATATATCTCTTACCCTCATTATTCATAATGAAAAATAAAAAAAATTAAGTTGAGCTGCAGTCAAAGCTCGATTAAGTGATATAACGTGGCAGAGAAAAGTGATCCCCAACCGCATTATCCAGGTATCCTTGTCCAACTATGAGACGTTTGGTTTAGAGTGATTTCAGTCAGACTAAGGTGTTGACATGTTTTATTAAAATCCAGTTTTAGTTAAGCTAAGGCAATAAATCAACTGTAAACACACTGTCTGACTACTAACTACTCTTAGTATAGTGTTTTATTCATCCT